ACTTGGTACTTTTATTTTAAATATAAAGTCTGTTAGGAAAAATTTTCTCATTATTATTTGATGGATTGTTCATTTTGGTTCTATAGTTTTATAGTGTTTGTGTTTGAGTCTGTTATTTTTCATGATCAGAAAATAGACAAATTTGAGAATGGACAGTCACTATATTTCTTCTATAACCCTAGCGTCTTAAATGCTGTCAAAAAATCCGATAACAGAATTAAAATTAGTTGACAAGTTCGTTACTTGGGATCTTGACTATTGACAGCATCACATCCAGGAATTTCAATAGAAGGCTTTGCTTATTGTTTAAAAACAAGTAATGTGAGAGTCCTCCTCCAGAATTTTGGTTTCATGAAATTACGACACATCGTTAAAGTGTTTTTACATTGCGGGAGGATCTTAGGCCATTTTAACATTTGTCACACGAGCCAGCCCGGCATTATGAGGTGGATAAAAAAAAAGTCATCCGGGAAAGGTTTGGATTGTTTTGGTTAGACAAAAAAAGAAAACATTTGGTACTATTTTCAAAGTCTATATCGCTGGACAAGACCCATGACAATGAGAGCCAACATGGAGAAGTAAACTTGCAAATTGTAAAGTAAAACTATGTAGCTACGAAACATGCTTGAAATGTTCTTGATGTCTTTGTGAATGTGATGGTTTAAGTGTAGCGATTAAGATAAAACCGTGGTCTAGGTCGGATAAGGGAAAATACTTATTCGAAGATATCCCAATCAATTTGACATACCAGCTGAGTCGGAGATTCGTCAACTGATTATTGGATTGGCAGCGAAACATAAAACAAAGGCACAAAAATATCGGTATGTTCAAAACGAGAGATTAGAATCATATATAAGAAATCATTAGATTCAATAATTTGTGAAACTAACGCTACAGTAAAGCCCAAAGATACAATATTGAAGTTGAAATAGACGTATTAGAAGATGATTTCCTAGCGATTCTCAAATTAAAAATGCCATTTCTGCAATGAATAGTAAATATAAGAAGGATGGTATAAAGCTCAGTATGGTACCACAATAGAATAATTCATATAGATTTCATCTTGTCATGTTTTCAAAAACATTTAGTTGTTGTTGTTTTTTTGTTCATTTTAGAAATTGTGCCGAGCTTCATTCATCTAGATCTATCGAAATAACCCTAAATCACTGGTTTCCGGAATGCCCACTCTGTTGACCATCCTAGGCTCAGTACTAAAAGATGCTGAGCTAGCTCGTGTGGCAAGTGTTAAAGAGATTTTTCTTGGAGTAGTTAATGTTAAAAGCAAATTAAAATCTGCACTGGGGGGGGGGGGATAAAGAGGGCATGAAACATATTAAGTTAAATTAGTTGTTGACTAATTATCATGAGATTCTTCCCGGCATTCTCAATAACTACCGTGTATGAGTCAGCTTCCTAAAGCATTTTGTTACATTGTGTCGATGTCAGGTATGATATAAAATATGCCATCTTTAAGAATGGAAAAGTATGAAATATGTCTTTTTTTTATCGCTTAAAATGTTTAGTTTTATCAAATAAATTGTTTTGTATATATATATCACTCGTAAACTCTCGGAATTTCAATATTTTTGAATGTATCTAAATAATTTCTAACAGTGTCATAGCTTTTTGAAACTTGACGTGACAAATGGCATCAATAAAGCCTGATTAAAAAAGGAACATGTGCAGAAAAATGTGTTAGTATGTTTTTAAACGCATGAAACTATAATTTAGAATAACCAATTAGCTGTCTAAGCGTCATTCGAAAAATTCCTACTGGCGATGCTTGGGTTCACTTTTTTTTTCCTGAAAAAAAAATTACGCCAATTGTTGGCACGTTTCGATCAACGTTTCAATTTTCAACGACCTCGTGGCTATATTCTAATAAACTATTTCGTAGATTTCAAAGTTAACATGAATATAAATTATATACATGATTAATTGTAGATCTATATTATTATTAATTTTGACTTTTGGAAATTTTAATTAGACAATATTCACTGATGTTAGTGGGAAAAGGAGAATAAAGCTATTCTTGGAGAGGTATGATAACAGTAAGAAAAAATGTTTTGTTTGTTTATGAATTTCGCGCAGAGCTACTCAAAGGCTATCTGTGCTAACTGTCACTAATTTAGAAGTGGTAGACTCGAGGGAAGGCAGTTAGTCAACATCACCCACTGCTAATTCTTGGGCTACTCTTTTAACACCAAATAGTTGGACTGACAGTCACTTTATAACGACTCCACGGCTGAAAGGGCGTAACTCGCAGATTGCGAGTCGAGCGCTCTAGCCACCAGCCACCAAAAATGTTAAACATATTTTAAGGTAAATGCCAACAGTAGGATCCCTCAGGACTTCTAAGGTGTAAAGTTGTTTGTACGAGTTTAAAAAAATAAAGAAATTAAACTTTGCTATTTAATGATATTTGACATAATCTATATATCAGTTATTTTAAGGAAAGATTTGGTTGGTAAAATAGTAACTGCCAACAAGTTTTGAAATCCTAGAAAGAAGTATTTGATCAGTTTAGAATTTTCGCGCAAAGGTATACTAAGGCATAGCGGTTCTTAATTTTGAGCTAACAGCTAGAGGGAAGGCAGCTGATCAACAGACTACCGACAACTCTCAAGGGGATATCGAAAAGTGGGATGTGACCATCACCCTTATAACGCAAGCGAACCACAAACCCTCGGAACCACAATTTGGGCATGATAGCCACTAGGACACGACTCGTCCTGAAAGATGTGCACAGATTATGTAATCAATAAATTTTATAGAAATATTGGGAAGAATAGTTCTAAAATGTCCAATGCTAGTCCGAATTTTAAAAAGATCAATACATATTTCATTGATAAAGATATTTATTAATTTGTACTTACAATTTTAATGTCTGATTTTATGAAAATATTTTCTTGCTAGAATTATATAAAGAGTCACAATACTTTAATACATTTTATTATTAGGTTTGTTTGTTTGTTTGAAGTTAAGCACAAAGCTACACAATGGGCTATCTGTGCTCTGCCTACCACGGGTATCGAAAACCGGTTTCTAGCATTGTAAGTCTGTAGACATCCCGCTGTGCCACTGGGGGGGGGGGGCTTTATTATTAGACCTTATACATATTTTAACACGAAGTTTTGCAAAAATCTGCCCCAAGTGGCTCAATGGTAAACTTGAGAGCTGAAATCGGGCGTCGTAAGAATCGTAGCTTATTTCTCTGGATTATAAGTTAATACATTAAAGATCATGAGCCCGAGGTATCTCGTGGTCGAGAGTTCTGTATATACTTAGTGATCGTCAGTTTCATTGAACTCAGTATTGACATTTTCTCATGCTTCAAGCAGAAATATAACTACTATTACCACCACTTAGAACTCTGGACGAACAATTTCACTAAAGTTTGTTTAAAAACGAGAAAGTTCATCGTGTTTGCTGTAGAAGCTAAAGAACCTCGTTACTTGAGGCACTTCAAGATACATTTCTTCAGGAGATTTAAAAGCAAACTCGTTTTCATTCAGTAAGTAATCTCTTCGCTTTGTTTTCTAAAATATGTTATTTTTCGCATTATATTTTTCAATATCAGATTCTTTCTAATATTTCATGTAATACTATCTGAATCAGGTTCTGTGTGCACACGAGTATCAAACATAGAAACAGTTGCTGTTTTTCTACTTGCAAAGCTAACTACGGGTATCGAAACCCGGTTTTTCGGGGTACAAGTCAGCAGACATACCACTGTGTCACTGGGGAGGGGATGTATTAAATGAAACAGTACTTACCAAAATGTATATATATATGTGTGTGTGTGTATGCAGGATTTAAACAAAACATTCATTATGAGAAGAACAGGATTATGCTTTAATGTTATTCGGATCAAACTTATTAATTAATTGGTGTTGTTACTAACTAATTAAGCAAAGGTAATGGAATAATAATGGAAGGGTTGCTTGAGATTCAAACGAACAATTTCAAAGTTTTTTGATTAAAGGTTTCTTTGGATGGAAATCAGTATTGTGCAATATTTGATTGGACATTGAAAATAGAACGTCACAACAACATAGTCAAAAAGTTTAGATTGTAATAGGTTAACAGCGCCCTGAAAAAGAAAGTACATTTTGTCAACAGAAAAATATATTCTATAAAGTTTATACTTGGTTAATTGCATCTTTATATTGAACTCTTTCCTGATCTTTGTTTAAGCCTTAACAAATACTCATTCGTTTGTCACTTTACTAGGACCTACATCTAATAACGAGATCGACCATCTTTTGCCCAAATAACAGCTATGATACGACGTGGTATATCATCTACAAGGTTCTGGAAGTTGTCTTGAGGGACTTCTACCCAATCATTCACTAATATTGTACGCAATTCATGGAGCGAAATAAGCAAAGGATCGTGTTGACGAATGCGTCTAAGTTGGATTTAGATCGGAGGTTTTGGTTTCCATGGTAAACGCCTGATGCCTCCGCCGTGTTCCTCCAGCCATGCACGCACAATATGGGCACGTTGGATGGAAGCATTGTCTTCTTGAAAGTATCTGTGTTTCATCAAGGTACATATGAGGCATCGCTGAATGCACTTGATCAGAAATGATGCCGGGGAAAGATTCGACATTCATTCAACCTTCTAAAGGAACCGAGAAGTCAAGGGTATGCCACAAAAACATGCCTCAAACCACGAATCCACAACAAGACTCTAGAGGGATTGGCCAATAAGGGACCTGATAGATGTTCACCCACTGTCATTCCGATTTGGAACTCTTCAATATCTTTGCCCATATCTGTTAGACTAACTATAAATATGCCTTATAAATATGACTTATAATGCTACAGGGATAATCTGACACATCATGTGATCAACCTAATTTGCACCTGCAGCTGAAATCAGGCCAAAGTCTCAAAGGGTACATAGGTCCTAATAAAGTGGCTCCAGCTATAGAGAATGTATATTTTAAACAACATTACTAGTATTTCACGGTTAAGGTTAAGATTTCATTTTACCTTTCAATGCTAAGAAAAGAAAAACGGTCAGTGACATAGATCCGAACAAGAATGTCCACTTTCGCTGTCCAATCATACTTCAGTAGTATCTTTCTTTACACTGAGCCTGTGAAAGATATAAAATCGTGTTAAAAAATAAATAAACGTAAATATAAAAATAAATTGACTTGGAAAACACAATATAAAGCTAACTTTAATATATTTAGTTTAAATTTGGAGCTGTATCCAGTAAAATACTTGACTTTTCAGGAGCTGTATCCAGTAAAATAAATGACTTTTTAGAAGCTGTATCCAGTAAAATACATGACTTTTCAGGAGCTGTATCCAGTAAAATAAATGACTTTTTAGGAGCTGTATCCAGTAAAATACATGACCTTTTAGAAGCTATATCCAGTAAAATACATGACCTTTTATATGGAGCTGTATCCAGTAAAATAAATGACTTTTTAGGAGCTGTATCTAGTAAAATACATGACCTTTTAGAAGCTGTATCCAGTAAAATACATGACCTTTTATATGGAGCCTAAGTGTATCAGCTTGACCTTTGGTATGAAGCACATAGTACACGTTTTACTTTTTAATAATTTTCCTGACGTGACCTATTTTCTCTTGTCGTATTCATCATTTTTCATACGTCTACCTCATGAACAGAGTTACAGACGGTGAGGTAGAGAGGCATTTCATGCACGTCACTTCGCTATCATCAATTTGTAACAAGATTAATTTTACGAAATTAATAAACGGGATATTTCTTTCTAAATTATGGAAGACACGTATAACTTTAACACGACAAGTAGGACTAGTTGTAATAACAAACTCGACAGATGTTTAAAAAAAAAGAGAGATCACTTTAAATGTTATGTACAAAGATTCTAACAGTCGCGAACACTAAATTACATAGTGAAAACTGTAGATTTGAAAAGGACGTGTACATCATAAATTCAGATTTTTCAACATTACTTTGGTTCCACATTATCCGTATTCTGTATCGACGTAAATTGATTTGAACCTTTGCCGTCTGTAGTAATGAAATATTTGTTCTTGTTTTTCTGCGGTCATTTACATACCGTACTGAAACACGTGTCAGCTAGATGTATTCATGATTTTGAATTACTTTTTATCTTGGTTTTATCTGGCTTAAAGATCAATACATTTTTATTGACTGCTCTTGTCAAAAGAAAAGTTTGTACTTAATAAATTAGCCCGTGTTGAAACTTCACATTTTTGAGAAAAATAATTTAAAAGGTAGGCATGATAAGGTGGGATATAATACCCTGAAGATGGTAGGAGATTGATATAATACCCTGAAGATGGTAGGAGATGGATATAATACCCTGAAGATGGTAGGAGATTGATATAATACCCTGAAGATGGTAGGAGATGGATATAATACCCTGAAGATGGTAGGAGGTGGATATAATACCCTGAAGATTGTAGGAGATGGATATGATACCCTGAAGATGGAAAACATTTTATCAATACTGCTGCACGGAGGAACATCATAGCGTGTGTGTATTTGATAGCAAAGCTAAATCGGGCTATATCTGCTGTGTCCACCGAGGGGAATCCAATCCCTGATTTTAGCGTTGCAAAGCTGTAGACTTACCGCTGTCCCATAGGATACAACACCAAAGAATATGTGTTTGTTGTACTTGACATAGCGATATGAACATCGAAATTCGGAATTAAACCCAGAACAAAAAAAACTTTTATTTTTTTAGTTGGAAGACAATTTTTTAAATATATGCTGCTCGAAGACTGATTCTGAAAATACGAATCGTTTTATTAACTCGTGATTTTAACAATAAGGCATAAAACCTCAATGTTTTACTTGCAGAGACTGGTTTAAACTTATAGTGTGAGAAAATAAGCAATCCACTTCCACGAAGTTTATTTAACGAAACAAAATAACTAGAAGACAGCCAACTCACTAGAAAAAATAGACCTCGCGATGGCCCATTTTTAACTCGTTTTACTATTAAACAGTCCCAGTTCTAGATATGAAAATCCATAATGCAACTTGTGGTGGCATTAATAAGTTGGCGGACAAACGGGGTTTCAACGTTTTTTATCTTTAACCAGGGCTGCATATCTCATCATAGTAGTCGATATGATACATGTCTAGATATTGGTGCCACGATACGATACGTATCTAGATACAAAAGTTTTACCAACATTTTGTTACAAAGTTTGACAGTCTTGTCTGTAATTTATTATCTATATTACTAACATTGTCTTATTTAACTACTTCACACTTTACAGTGTTTTTCAAATTCTCAGGTTTGATCAACTAAATGGCAGCTGGTAAGAGAAGTAAAATATAAACAAGTTAATATCTGTCTGTCTATTTTGTTTTGTTAATTTGTTATGTTATTTTGCATGTAATGTTTTTGATAAAAGAAATGAAGACAACATGTAGTACTCAATACACATCTTACTTTATTGAATCGTTAATTTTTAGCAAAAATACTGTATTAGAAATTCTCATTCTTTCTGTACAAAACACTTATAATGTTTACTGAAAGCTTGCCAAATTTCGTGAAGATATATAAATCGTATCGTATTGGACGATACAATCATATCGCAGCTTCACGATACGATACTCGTATAATATCGCTGTTTCACTACACCTTTAGCTTTAACGTACTAATATTACAATCCAGTTGTTTAAGAAATTCTTCAGCACTCAAGACAAAGGTCGAAACGTCATCTGAAACACAAAAAACAGACAGGAAAGTCCACAAAGACACTTTTAAATAGAATTGATACAGTC